TACACCTATCTTTCTTTCTTCCCCTCTTAGCGCTGCTCTTTCTGTCTTTCTTTCCTTTTGTTTCTAAGGCTTTTTAGGTGACTATTTAGTTTTCTCACATGCGCGCCGAAAAAGCGCCGAAGCCGGCGATCTGTGTGTGTCCACCCCTGGACAAAGGGTTTTCCACCGCTACTCCTTCCACTGTTTTTCAACCACCTTTTTCAACCTTCTACAGGCAGGGGGGCAGAGAGGACTTGCAAGGCTCTGCCCAACGAAGCTCCTTGCAAGATCCTAGGATGCGGAAGCTGATCACTTCCGTGTACCTGCTCGTTCTTTCACAAGCTGTTACTCCACTTTTCCACTTTTTGTTTCATGGTTCTTCACGATTTCCACCCCATAAACATTCGTCCCCAGCAGCTGAGCAGCCGGTTCGCTTTTCCGCCGCTTGCGAGTGCCAACATTGTTCAACAATACTGTTTCAGCTGACCTTTCCACCTTGCTGTTCCATCACCTTCCTTCCCATCGGGAAATTGAGTTAACTGAATACAAGTGTCAGAGTGTGTGTCTTGTTCTTGTTTGTTAATCTTATCTAAGTTACCTAAGTACTTGATCCTAGCGCCAAACCTAGCGCAACCCTGCGTTTTGCTAGCGCGACGAGGTAACATACCCCTTTAAACACCAGAATACCAAGCGGTGGCCAAGCGATTTCTGAACCTCTGGGAACATTCCTTACTTAATACATATTCCCGGTTTTTTTGTTCGACTCACCTGGCTCCCAAGAGGACGAAAGCATGAGAGCCGACAATGACAATGACAGGCCACAAGGAACAGAGCGGCCAGCGCATGAAGGCCCAGAGGAAGAGAGCCCCACGGAGGACCCGACAGTAGCCGTCGATTACTTGTGACATGGGCGAGCTCTTCAAGTCGCTGGCGCTGGCGATAGGCCAAAGAGCCCTCGACGACATGGCACAAAAGAACCTCTATATAGAAGAAAAAATACATACATACATACATACATCCATACATACGTACATATCAAAACAAAACAAAACATTACATTAATACATACATACATACATTAATACAATAACATAACATAACATAACACACAAACATACATACTTACTTACATACATGCATACATATATTACATTACTGTACTTTACTTTACTTTACGGTACACTACATTACACTACATACATTACATGACATGACATTACATTACATGAATACATACATACATACCTACATACATACATTCATACATGCATACCTACCTACCTACCTACATACATACCTTACCTTACCTTACCTTACCTTAACTTACCTTACGTTACATACTTATATTACATGACATTACGTTACATTACATTGCATACCTAAAACACTATACATATGGTATCGGATCTCGAATCGTTTTTTAATATATATGCCTATAATAACATATAATGTAAAACTATGATAGACTATGTATATATGTAATCCAGGCGTGAATTTCAGGCAGGAGCTGGGGGCCAGGAGCTGGGAGCTGGTTGGAGTTGATATTTAATGACATTTACAAACTATAGGATCGTTAGAGCATTATGCCTGGAGTTGCGTGGATAAATGGCATGGCCCAGGTCCTGCCTGGGACACTCTTCCCAATGGACCGAAATTTTACTTTATAGCACTATATAAATCCAATCTCAAACAGGGTAACACAGAGTCAGGCAGAAAAAAGTGGAACCGGTGCCACCTCGACAGCACTAGTTTTATAGAAAAAATTATTGAACAAATTGTTTTGGGCAGCTCTCGAGAAGGAACCTGGGCCACCCGCGAAGTTTGCGACTGCTCTGTCAGAGAAGTTTTCGTTTGCACACGTTTGCTGCTTCCTCAAAGGTGCATGAATTGCAAAACTGCGTGGCCCCTTCCAATCACCGGTTTTTGTCTCTACAGGACAATGCATCCCATACGTTTTACTGAAAATGACAGAGTTACCTGTCAGCAACTATCCTTCCTATCTATAGAATCTAGTTTTCAAGTCCACAAACCACTTCTGCTTTCTATAGAATTCTCGTTCCTGTGTTTGATAACCAGTATATATTCTATAACATGAACCGTTTATAGAATTCCTGTTCCAGTCTTTATTGTATTTTTTTCAGGCAAGTCTCTTTCTATAGATTCTGTTCCCAGGTTGTTTGGCAAAACTGGTTTCTCTATAAAATCTGATCCAAGGTTGCCAACGTGCTTCCTATAAAATCCCTGAACACAGTTCTGGCCGATGCCAAACAGTTATTTTTGTTGTTTTTTGTTGAGTTTATAACTGTTTTCTTTTTTTGAATCATGGTAAGGCCAGAATCCTTGATATAAACCAAACAAAAAAGTCTAATGGAACAGTCAAAGTCAAAAAACAGTCAACTTGAAAAGTAAAAACACACAAAAAAAAACACAAAACACCAAAAAAGTCAAACATAGACCACAGCTCGAAAAAGTCAAAAAAAGCCGAAAACACGTCGAAAAGAAATCAAAATCAAAAACCAACTCGAAAAAGTAAAAAACATATCAAAAAAAGGTCAACAACTCGAAAACGTCGAAAGAAAGAAAGTCGAACAAAAAGTCAAAAAACACACCAGTCAATAAAAAGTCCAAAAACGTCGGATCTGTGCAAATTGACCTTTTTTGACTTTCTGAAACTTTCTGATTTGATTCCCGAAAGCATTGCGAAGGGTTCTTCCGGAAAATCCTTTGAACACTGACACTTCGACACTTACACTTAGACACACTTCGACACTTACACTTAGACACACTTAGACATTGACACTTTCACCACACTTGCAGGATAACATGAACGCTATACGTAGCCCTGTGTAAGTGGAAGAGCGAAAGCTGTCAAAGTATGCAAGTGGAAGTATGCAAGTGTAAGTATGCAAGTGATGAGTATGCAAGCATGCAATGAGTAGGCAAGTGAAGTAGGCAAGTGAACTAGCACGGGAGATGTCCTAATGAAAAAACATTTCCCCATGAAGATATGCCCAGAAGGGTGCACACGTGAAACGTGAGGAAGATCCTACACCTGAGAATCAGGTCCACGCTCATGCATGAATGCCAATGCAATTGGCAGAAAGCCTTTGACTGGAGTTCAAGCGAAAGGAAAAGGGAGCGTAGTGCAAGCCATAGACTGAATGTAGGCGCCTATAGTGCTTGGGGCAGGCTTGGCGTAGGCTAATCATTCAGGACATGGTCTTTGCACAAGTTAAATGGTTACATTTTGGCTCAAGGCTAGCTTTAGCCAAAATAGCTTTGTGGAGTGAAACTCTAAGAGAGAACCTCTCTGCTCAGCTGGCAGTTTTGGCGAGTGATCAGGTGGTCCAGTGGATAGGAAGACTGGGTTAGGAACAACAGCCGCAACTTCGCAGATGCCTACACCATCCAGATCTGCTTCGGGTGGACGCGCTAGACTCTCTAGACCCAACCAACTGCGTGTCTCATACCGTGACTTCTTCCTGATAAATTCTGTGTGGACGTCGTTCTGCGGAAGCACAACACTATCCTTGCTGTGTACAAAGACTAGTCGCGAGCAGAACAGCGAGAGTACGCTAAAACATCTACAGTGCCTGCTGTGTGTCACCTCACGCTACTTTGTCGCGTTTTTCTTTGAGACAATCAATTAATCAATGACAAGCATACTGGTTGGTTAACTACATCCTAGAAAAGCTGTGTCCTGGAGTGAAGTAAACGTTTTTGCCCGGAAGATATATATCGATGGATGCCTTTCCTCTGACAGGTCACTGCTTCGAGACGCTTCTGGCGTGGCTGCCTCAGCATTTTCTGTGTTCATTCCAGCTCGGTTTTTTCAGTGAGATTCCCTGCAGCCGTGCACGCTGCTTCTCCCCTTACCAGCAGCTCACACGCTCATGACGATGAGCTGGGCTGTCACCGCTTGGCCGCCGGTGGGGG